AGGGATGGACACAGGGAAGATGTAACTATTGGGAGGAAGTGGGAGGGGAGCTGTTGCATTGGGGTAAATTATAGTCAATGTCATGAGACAACGTGTATGTGAACTGCTCTATGGAAAGTGAATTTCCTCTGTAAACTTTCACCCAAATCACTATTAAAAAAAATCAGTGGTTCGAATCTACCAGCTGCTCCTCAGGTGAAAGATGTGGCAGTCTGCTTCCATATTTACAGCCTTGGAAATCCTATGGGGCAGTTTTACTCTGTCCTGCAGGGTTGCTATGAGTCAGAATCAACTTGATGGCAGTGGGTTTGGTTTGGATCTTGTTTAGGATAAAATCTAGCCTGTCTCCATTTCATTGTGGCAGGGTGTCCTGTGGCAGGGATACTAAAAACAGAGATGCCCAGCCCCAGGTGTGACAGGAAGCAGAGCCTGAGTCCAGGCTCTAATCTAATCTAACCTTAGGGCTTCACTTCTTCATGTGTGACATGAAACCATCTAGACCAACTCCTGGACCACAGTGGGAGAGCCATTTGCTACTTGCCAGCAGGGAGCACCATTGCTCTTCAGATGGTAAAAAGGAAAGGGGCCCTAGCAGAAGCACCCTGAATTAAGATCTCTTCTACAGAGGGGCCCCTGAAGCAGTTTACAATACTAAGGAATCCCCAGTCTTACTATGCTCTGCCTCCTCGTCTAACCTCTCCTAGTAAGGGGTTGCAGAAAAACTATCATATTAAGAGTTGTGAGCCAGACTGGGCAGGCCTGTGTCCTCCAACCATTCATCCTGGGTGGGCAGGCAGGGGTGTGTGGGTGTGTGTGTGTATGTGTGTGTGTGTGTGTGTGTACTGCTCACAGCAGACTCTGGACCCCATCATTAAGCGCCCATATGTGGGAAGAAAAAGCTTCTTCCATCAGTGGTTGGCTACCAAAGAGATGCTGATTGAAGCAGAATGCTCCTTTCCACACCTGCTGCTGCTCCTCCTTCCCCTGCCCTGATCAGTAAGCAACAACTCTGCGACCCTATCTAGGGGCTCTGAGGAGGCAGCACACACGATATAGTCAGCTGCAGCTCCACCGGGTAGTACAGCCACAGCGCCTCCAATGGGCCCTGACCAGCCAGCTGGTTACACCTGGTGTGACCTGGTGCAAGCTCCTCCTGTCCGCTTACCTGGTGGCAAACATGGCGCGCAATGAAGAGAAGGTAGCGGCATCTTCCTTAAGAGCCTTGAGTTCATTCCGCAGCTTCATCATGGTCTCGGTCACCATCGCTTTCTCATTCTCATACTTGCTCTTTAGGTTAGCCAGGGCCACCTCGGCAGTCTGTAAGGACAGAACCACAGAAAAGTGGGCTGAGGAACTGTGCCAGGCCCTGTCCCACCACACAGTGGCCAGAAGGTCCTCCTTGGGTCAGCATGGGGGCATGTGAACATGTACAGTAGGGTCTATGTGAATGTGAATGCAGCTTAAGGAATATCTCTTCTCCAGTGCAGCCTCCTGACCAGACTCTTGGTCACACAACAAGCTGATGATGACCCCAAAATGTCCCTGGGATCCTTCACAACACCTGACAACACTCCCCATAGTGTTAAGGCAGATCAGTAGGCATGGTTTCTCTACACAACTCTAGTACAAAGTAACCACAAACAAATGATGCTGCTCTGGTTATGTGGAGGAACTGCCAAAAGCACCCCATTCCCCAGCCCTCCTGACTGGAGGTCCTGAGTGCCTCCTGGTGGTCATGGGCTACCACAGACCCAGTGTGGAAACCTCTGTGTCAGGACTCCCAGTTTGGAGGGGCACACACTCCAGGCTGGGGATAGGTGTGTGATCAGGGAGGCTGGACCAGGTAAGGCAGTGTCAGGGTCAAGGTGGAACAGGCTTCAAGGATGGGATGAAGGGGAAATGCCCACTCAAACCAAGAGCCTTCCAGGGTCCAGTCCAGTTTCCTAGGGACTAGAGCTCAACTCCTGGAAGCTACACAGAGTCCTGGGCCTGGAGTTCTGAAAAGACGCTCCATCCTACTTCTATCCCTATTCTTGCCCTCCTGGATGCTCTTATCCCCTAGCCCCTGCTCAACCCCCACAGCTCAAGCAGGGCCCCAGGCTCTGCCCCCTGTGTAACCAGTACCCCTAGACCCCAGACCCCCAAGCTCTGTGCCTGCCTGCTGCCTTACCTGCTTGTTGGCCTTGAGCACAGTCCGCAGTGTGGTAATCTGCTCACGCTTGGTGCTGAGCAGTGACTTGAGCTTCAGGATTTCCTCCATCAGCGCCTCTTTGTCTTTGTCCACAGCAGGGCCCAGCTCCTGTGAAGCAATGCGCTGTCGCGACAGCTCAGTGGTGCGGTCCACAGCTGCCTGCAGGTGCTTGATCTGGTCACGGATGATGGCAATCAGATTGTAGATGTTCATGGGCTCACGGCGTGGGTCGCTGAGGGGTGATGGCAGTGAGGAGTCAGGTGAGGGGCTGCTATCTCCAATCCCACCATCTGCCCTGCCTAGCTCTGCAGCCAGCAGCCCCTTGGGCAGGAGGACAGGAGAGCGGTGGCCACGGCCCTCAGAGATGGCATGGCTGGTCCCACCCTGGCCCTCACGGTAGTAGTCCAGCATAACACGGTTGGGTGTCTCATTGTTGCACATGCACACGTGGTGATAGAGGTTGGCCAGCTCCTCACTAAAGGTCACCAGCTCATCCTGGGCCACGCTCAAGCTGCCCTGTGTCTCACCGGCCACATCACTCACACTCTTGAGTTCCTTCTCCAGCCGAGCCAGCAGGTCACGGTCCTGGCAGCTGGCCTTTTCCAGCAAAGCAAGCTTCTCAGCAAGTGCCTGGTTCTCGGCTTCGTGGCGGCCCTTCTCCTCTGTGTGTTGAGCTTCACAGGCCTCGTGCATGCTACGTAGAGCCTTCAGCTGCTCCCGGAGTTCACTTGCCTCAGACACAGCCACATGGTACTTGCAGGCCAGGATCTCAGGCCCATTGATGTCTACCTCATAGTAGTCACCATCCTCATGGCTGTCCCGGTCCTTCTCGTTGTCTAACGCTGTCTGCCGCTCCTTGCTGGCCTGTAGGCGCCGCAGGGCACTCAGGTTCTCTGTGAGTCGGCTCACCTTCTCATGCTGCTCTGACAGGGCCCCATGCGCCTGTTCAAGTTGCTTCTGTGTGTCCTGCAGCGTTGCCAACAGGCTCACCTTTTCCCGCTCCATCTGCAAAGGCATGAGTGAAGGGAAGTCAACAGCTTGTGAAGGGACTGCCCTGGTACAGTGATTACCATCCCATCCAATGCCACATATCGGCTGTGGGCCTCATAGGTTACTTAACCATGTGAACCTCTGTTGGCTGTCAATGAAATGGGATGTGGATGGAATGACTCATGTGGACCTTCAGAATTCTCCTGTGATAGCACTGACACTCACGACCATGCAGGAAGGAGGTGCTGCCCCTACCCCTACTTTCCAGCTTAGGAAACTTAGGCTGAGGTGTTAGATGACTTGTCTGAAGTCATGGGGCAGAAATGGTCAGCTAGGTCTCATAACTCAGCTGTGCATTTGTTCAAAGCCAATGTGAGTTGAGCATTACTCTGAGCTCAGAGGAACCCAGGTGTCCCTGTGCCACTGTCATCCCTGGGCCTATGCTCTAGGGTCTGGGAATGCCAGGCTGAGAAGTCTGAGGCCCCAGACCTATAGGGTGGGGTGTAGAGCCTACTGCCCAGCATGCAGCTCCTCAAGTATAGGGACTGCCCATCCTTGTCCCCAGATCCCTGCAGATATGCAAATGACATGTGTGGATTCACCATGAAAGGATTGGCCACTTGTCTTCCAGGAAACAAGCTCACAAAGACCCAAATGTGTCACCCTCTTTAGCCTGTATCTTGTCTATAAAGTGTCTATAGAAGTGTTGTACACAGGACTAGCCTGTTATTATTTCACAAGTGGGCTCTCTCCCTTATCCTGAGTCTTCATGCTTCACAAAGTAAGAGAGCCTCATCTCCGCCTGTCCCTCAGGACCTGTATAGTATGTGCAGCAGGCTAGTGGCTCTGAGAAGTCCCATAGGAGACACCAAGGGGACTGCACCTGAGCATAAAGTCTTGACATGACCCTTATATCCCACAGTCATAACATGGACACCATGGCAGTACATGAGAGAACTTCAATCTAGTAATCAGAACCTTCTCTGATTATCTTCCACCTACAATATGGGGTGCTGTACTTATAGTAACAATCAAAATTTAAAATGAATTTAAGTAGAAAGAGGGTAAATCCACATGAAGTGTTGGGTGCATACCATTCAGGGAAGTGTAGATATGGGATGGGACTGGAGGGGGGTACACCCAAGCTCAAACCTACTGAGTTCCAGGACTCTGTGATAGGGGCCATGTCTGGGGTGGAGATATAGGCCAAGGGCCCCCACAAGACCAGCCCTAGCATGCCCACATACTCACCTGCATCAGCTGCTGCTTCAGCTTCTGGATCTCAGAGATGTTGAGCTCACTGAGGAGGTCAGAGACCAGGCTGGGTGAGGGTGGAGGGAGATCATCCTTCCTGGACATAGAGGTCTTGTTGTCAAGTGGCAGCTTGGCTAGGCCATGCTCCAGGCCATTGACCAGGGCCTCTGCATCGTTGTTAGGCTCTGTAGTGCCAGCAGCAGCATCATCACTGAACTTGAGACCATCCAGGGAGACATGCAGGTGGCTGGTGTAGAGGGAGTCATTGATGCTCATGTAGTGTGATAGCTCCTTGCGCAGGCTGTTCTTCTGTTCCCGCTCAGTCTTCAGCGTCTCTAATGCCTCCTCTAGCTGCCGCTCTGAGATTTCTTTGAGTCGGATAGCATCCTCCAGTTGGCTGTTTAGATACTCAGTCTCTTCCTCCAGCCGCTTAATCTCATGCTTGAGGCCCTCGAATTCTACCTGAGAAAAGGAATTCCTACAACTCCTAAGACAGGTTAACCACCTTATGCTTAATAAATTAGCAAAAAATTTCAAAGTGCTCCCCCCACTACTGGACCACTAGAAGGCCAAACCCAACACTGCTGGAGAGGAGGGGTATATATGGCAGGCTGTAAAGGTGAGAGCACGCCTGTCACCATCATAGGAGGGACACAGAAGAGCTCTGCCTCAAGGGCTGCTAAGGGAGCAGGGAGAAGGAGAGTGTTTGTGAGGTGTGAGCCCAGAATCTGTGTAGATCCAGGCTAAGGAAGGGCCTTAGCACAAATTATATGTGTCTATACTTTAAAATGTGTACTTCTTTTATTTAAAAATATTAACAAGTAATTATTTTAAATGGTATAAAATTAATCAACATTAAGCTATTTAAATATTTTTAAGTATATTAAATATATACTTATATGCTCACTGTGACTACTCTAACTATATTTCCAATTGGAAGGAACTGAGAACCATCAAGGCTGTCAAGAGTGAGCATGGGACAACAGAAGCCACTTGTACTCAAAACCAGAATACACACAACAGTCAGACCTCAAAAGTGCTAGTGTTAAGGGGGTAACAGCAGAATCTAAGATTGTATCTATATGAAACTATATCCCAGGTGGATAGGAAACATACAAGGAAACACCAGTAAGAATACTAATGCTTAAGGTGTGTGTGTGGGAGTCAGAATTTGTGGATAATTCTTAAAAATATTTGTTATTATTTTATAATACTTGGCCAAGAAATAAATACCCATATAAAATTAGGAGACAAACCAATAAAAAGCAGTACTGAGCCTTTGCATATGTCACGAGGATGAAGAGATGCCAGACTAAGAAAGGCTTGGAGAACTACTTGAGAAAATCAGCCAATGAAAACCCTATGAATCACAACAGTCTAATCCACAACCAATCAGGACCAGCCAGGACTGTTTTTGTCCATTATGTGTAGGGTGGCCATGAGTCGGGGGCTGACTCAACAGATGCTAACAATAAGTGTCTAGGACAAAATAGATTCCAGGTCACAGCCAGAGGTGGCCCTGTCTTTTCTGGAAGGTCTCTGAGATATGGTCAGCCACAGCTCCAACAGGATGGAGCTGAAGTGACTCAGCTCTTCTGCTAACTTCCCCTTCCTTGATTTCTCGAGAGGGTCCTATCATACCCCTAAGCATGGAGGCTACACTAGGCTCAGAGAATAGAAACAGCTCCTGAAGACTGCAACTGGAGGTAAAGGCAGAGCTGCATAGGGCCCATGTTTCATGAGCCATAACAAGGCACAGAAGGATAGGAGGGACCACAGGGGCATGAAGACACCCATGTGAAGGCCTGAGGTCAGCACTGGAGATGAGGACTAGCTTCTGGGGTGTTTAATGTAACCTCCTGTGGTTTGCCACAGCCTCAGGTTAGCCAATGGTCAGCTACCTGATTACCGGAGTTGTTACCCCTCAGGAGTTATGGGGGCTGGGTCCCAGTCACTGAGAGAGCCTGCCACACCTACTATTACATGGGATGAGGTAGGGGAATGCATGTTTCCAACACGTTCCCCACCCCAGGGCCACAGACTTGCCTGGTTCTGCCTGAGCACAGACACCTGCTTCTGTAGGCAGATGTTCTCCTCCTCCAGCTCTGAGTAGTCCTGCAGCAGGCGAGCCTCCCGGAACTTGTACTCCTTGATATCATCCCGCAGGCGGCCTCGCTGGATCTCAACATTCTGGTTGATCTGAGAGAAAGGCAGGCATGATCATCTACCCACTTAGCACAGAGGTCAGGTTTGAGTGGCCAGGCACACTGTACACAGTAGGCCAAAGGGCCAGGACCCAGGTGTCTAGACCCACAGTGCCTGGTGTGGTCATCCTGTAGGGGAGGCAGAGCTCAGAGGTAGTATGGTGGGGCATATGGAGTAGAGGGTCTAAAGCCAGGTGGGCCTTGTGTCCAATTCCCCACTCAGCCACTTGTCAGCTTGGAACCTCCATCAAGGATTCAAGCCCGCTCTGACTCTGTTTCTTCATCTGTAAAATGAGATTTAAAATAGTTCCTCCCTCATACACTGTGGATGGGAATGTAAAATCGTGCAGCTGCTGTGGAAATCAATTTTGCAGGTCCTTGAAAAGTTAAATACAGAATTTCCATATGACCTAGCAATTCAATTCCTAGGTATGTAGCCAAGAAAATTGAGAACATGTGTTCAAACAAAAACTTGTACACAAAGGTTCACAGCAGCTTTATTCAAGACAGCCTAAAATGGGAAACCCAAATGTCCATCAATGAATGAATGGCTAAACACAACGGAGTATTATCCAGCCATAAAAAAGAATGCTGATGATACACTCTATAACGCGTAACAATGCTACAACCTTAAAACCATTATGCTGAGTGAAGAAAGCCAATCACAAAAGAAAAAATATTGATTTTATATGATTCCATATATTAAATGTCCAGAATAGGTAAATCCAGAGAGATAGAAAACAGATTAATGGTTGTGTAGGGCTAAGCGGGTGGAAGGAAATGAGGAGCGAGTGCTAATGAGCACAGGATTTCTTTTTGGAATGATGTGATGTCTGTGAATAGACTGAAAGCCAGTGAACTATACACGTTCAATGAGTGGGTTGCATGGGATGTGATTTGTCTCAATAAAGCTGTTAAACAATTCCTGCCCCAGTGCTTCTTATGAAGATGCAGCATCATTACTCTAGGGGAGAGGCTAGGGTAGGATTTGGCATCACTGTGCTGGAATAAAAAATGTCTGCCACTGCTCTGCAATCTGTGTTAGAGCCCCAGGTCTCAATCTCAGTGCTGTGGTAATTGGGGCTAGGTAACTCTTTGTGGTGCTGTAGAGAATGTTTTGTAGTTTCTCTGACTTCTACCCACCAAATACAACCCCCAAGGTGTGACTCATCTGTCAATTTATTGTACTGTGGTGGCTTGCATGTTGCTGTAAGGCTGGAGGCTATGCCAATGGTATTTGGAATATGAGCAGGGTCACCCATCATAGACAGGTTTCAGCAGAGCTTCCAGCCTAAGAAAGACTGGAAAATAGGAATGGGCCCATCCACTACTGAAAGGACTGGCCACTGAAAACCTTATGAATAGCAGTGAAACACTGTCCGATATAGTGCTGGTAGATGAGCCCTTTAGGATGGAAGACACTCCAAATATGACTAGAGAAGAGCTGCCTCCTCAAAGTAGAGATGACCTTAATGACATGGATGGAGTAAAGCTTTTGGAACTTTCATATGATGATGGGGAATGACTCAGAATGGGAAGAAATAGCTGCAAACATTTATTATTCATCAGAACATGGAATGTATGAAGTGTGAATCCAGGAAAACTGGAAGCTGTCAAAAATGAAATAGAATGAATAAAGATTGATATCCTAGGCATTAGTGAGCCAAAATGGATGGCATTTGCCATTATGAATCAGACTATCACACGGTCTACTACACCAGGAATGACAACCTGAACAGGAACACTGTCTCATTCATCATCAAGAACATTTCAAGATCTATCCTAATACAATGTTGTCAAGGACAGGATAATATCCGTATGCCTATAAGGAAGAACAATTCATAGGACTATTGCTCAAATTTATGCACTGATCACTAAAGCAGAAGATGAAGAAATTAAAGATTTTTACCAACCCCTGCAGTCTGAAATTGACCAAACACACAATCAAGATGTATTAATTTTTACTGGTAATTCGAATGCAAAAGTGGGAAACAAAGAAGAATCACCAGTAGTTGGAAAATATGGCCTTGGTGACAGAAATGACACTAGAGACCGCATGATAGAATTGATAACACCAATGACTTATTCATCGCACACACCTTTTATCAACAACACAAACGGTGGCTATCCACGTGCACTTTGGTAGATGGAGTACACAGGAATCTGATTGACTATATCTGTGTGAAAAGGTGATGGAGAAGCTCAGTATCTTCAGCCAAAACAAGGCCAGGAGCAGATTGTGGAACAGACCATCAACTGTGCTCATATGCACGTTCAACTTGAAGTTAAAGACAATTAAAACAAGTCCACAAGAGCCAAAAAAACCTTCAGTATATTCCACCTGAATTCAGAGACTATCTAAAGAACAGATTTGACACATTTAATACTGATGAGCGAAAACCAGATGAATTATGGAATAACATTCAAGAACATCACACATGAAGACAGAAAAAGGTCATTAAAAAAAAAGAAAGGAAGAAACGGCCAAAATGGATGTGAGAATAGACCCTGAAAGTTACTCTTTTTTTTTTTTTTTTTAGGATTTGGGTGAAGATTTAC